GGATACTCTTGAAGCATCGAGTTTGGTCATTAATACGAACCATTTAAAATCTATGTTTGGTTATAGAACTCAACCTATAAAAGTTATGTTGGGTTGTTGCAATTAATCGGTGAAATATCTACTTCATTCGTGAGTTCATCGTGTGGAAAAACTCTCTTTTGGTTGGGGGTTAAGTTAGTGTGTAATCTCTCAATTCTCTTGTATCAAAGGTTCGTGGACATAACATGTAAAATCTCAAGATTATAGTGAACTCTTAATAATATCTCTTGGGAACAGGACTATGCCAATATTTGGTTGAACCCATATAAATCTCGGTGTCATGCTAGACCTTATATCTTTAAATTTCATCATTTACTTTTTTGCTTTATTTCTTTCTGCGACTTTTCTCTTTGATTTTGTGAATACTGACACAAATTATTTATTAAGTGAGAAATCATTTAAAATAATCATGAATTTTAAATAACATAATTCCCCCTCTTATGTTTGGAGTCATTTGTCTAACAAGTGGTGCCAGAGTCTAACTCATGTTAAAGACTAATCGTTCCATGAGGAAAATGAATTCAAGCTACTCACTAAACAAACCCTCATCCTTTAATAAAAAGGGTATAATTTGTGGGAAGAGAAAATGAAGTTTTTCATATAAGGGATGAATTGTGGTATTTAAAAGAATGTGAAGGAAGGGCCATTTGATCCTACACACGAAGTTGATGGTGTTGTAGTAAACAAACCTAAAAAAGGTCGGGCCAGAGATGGCAAAGAAAATGTGTAGCGCAATTTTAAGGCAAAAATTGTCATCCCAACTGCTCTCAATTATGATGAGTTTTTGTGAGTTTCTCAATGTGATACTATAACAGAAATGTGTGACATCCTCTAAATTATCCATGAAGAAACTATTTAGGTAAAAAGGGTAAGGTTTGACATATTAACTCACTAGTATGAAATTTTTAGAATAAAATATGAAGAGAACATAAATCAAATGCAAACACGGTTTACCCATATTGTGAGTCATAAAGAACTCTAAGAAAAACATCTTCAAATGAGCAATTGGTTGTAAAAAGTAAGAGATGCCTAAACTATAACTGACAACCTTAAGTCACTGTGATTTATGAATCTAAAAATTTAGCAACCATGGATGCACATACTCTTTTTGGTAAATTAGTTGAAGATTCCAATTCTGATGGAGACAAATCACTCATGGTATGAAAATTCTTAAAGTATGAGAAACAACAACAAGATTAAGACAAGAGTGAAGAAAAGTCTTCATTCATTCCTACTTGATATCAATGTGGAAAGAAAGAGAATATCATACCAAGCTGCACTCTATGGAAAAAGTTAAATCAAAATCAGAAAAATCTAAGAAACCTCATAAAAAGGAAAAGAAAGCTTACATCAAATGTGAGGACAATGACATAGCATCCTCAGATAATGAAGAAACCAACATGTCTCATGCCAAATTATCAAGTTGATGAGGAATGCTTTATAATTTAAAAAAATATTAAATGGTACTTTGATAAGTTCGGAAGACCATCAACGAGATTCTTCTGGATGTATGGTCATAAAATTGAAATTACATTAAACTCTATTTACGAGCTCAAGAGTGGAAATATCTACTTAGTGAATTTAAATAAATTATTTCAAGTGATGTAGGTCTATTTAGTAACAAGGATGAATCTTGGATATGGCATATGAGAATAGCTTACATTCACATAGACCACTTAAATAAGTTGGTCCGCAAGGATCTCGTTAACGGTCTTCCAAACTTGCATTTAGAAAAGAACAAATTATGTGATGCATGCCAAAAGGGTAAGCAAGTAAGGGATTCGTTTAAGGCAAAAAAATATTGTTTTCACATATCGGCTGTTACATTTTCTCCACATGAACCTCTTTGGCCCATCTATAATAGTATGTCTTTGTGGAAACATCTATGACCATGCAATTTTGGATGATTTCTCTCGCTACACCTGAAAATTAATCTTATCTCAAAAAAGAGACGTGATTACTGCCTTTCAAAAACTATCAAAGATTATCCCGGATGAGAAATGATTAAGCATTGCATCCATTATAAGTTATCACGCTGGAGAATTCCAAAACGAGGAATTAGAAGAAAAAATCGTAACAAGAACAATATTCTGTTAGAACAAGATTTGAATATGTGTTTAATCTTTAAGTTTTGATGATAACAAGCATATATTTTATGAGAAATTTTTTTAGTACTAATGGTTTCATTGAGCGTGCAAATATTAAAATTTTGGATAGTCTTAATCAAGATATCACCAGAATCACCTTATCACTCAGAAGAAGAACCATTGAGTTATGTTTCTAATATAACATCAGTAGTTCTATGAAATGCTGAATGTTCAACAAGAAAAGAATCTCAATGGGTGTCCAAGAAGAAAGAGTTTTTGATAAGTTGTCGCTTCAAGATCAGAAATCAAGAGGATACAAGAAACAAGCTTCCAATGCAGAAGATCAGAAGTCAAGACTAGTTAATTAAAAGAGATAATGCTTACAAGCCTAAAGAAGAAGTCAAAATTCTGAACACATATAGAGAAAGCTTATACTTCAAGGTTAGAAGACAATATCAGTTCATCAAAAGAGTTGTTGCTCATGTTTCTAAAGATAAAGTCAAGATTCTAAAGACTCGAATAATTTATAGAATACCACTACAAGAAAATTGGCAGATTGCAACAGTTATTTTGACAGGTTACGACGGCTAAAACCGCCACAATTTTCTATCTACGATGATTGATGTACCGTTGCAGAAACGTGTGTCCCCAGGCTGTTTCGTGACAGTTGCAAAAAACCACCACATCAACCGTCATTATCAATTGCGATAGGTAAGAGACTGTCGTAAATTGCATGTAGTGACGGTTACAAACCGTCGTGAATTTTGTTTGGTGTCTATAATTCAATGTTGATTGCAGAGGTTTATAACCCCCACTAAATTAACGAATTTAGAAAAAAAATCTAATGTAATTTAATATATACTCAATATCACAACTTCATCTTAAATATCAATTGTTACATCTACTCAAACTATTCATCAAGCTCATGCAAATAAAATTACTTCTTGAAACTCAAAGTAGATATTGAAAAAGTAATCAACAGTCTCATAATATATACATTGAGATATGTTTTAATTAAGATCCATAAATCTCATTCTAATATAAAACATTAGGACATCATAATAGAAAAAAATACTCATCAAAATATCGACCATTTTCTATGTCAAGATAGTATATAATATTAAAAATTACAATTCATTTTCTTAACTAAACACGTATTCAAATTGTAAGTAACTCGCATCAAAGTAATAAAGTGGCTCTAATTTAAATTCCATATTATGCATAAAACTAGGTCTCCTAATTTAAATTCCAAACATACACTATAACCAGGTAATATGATTAGATTGCACATTCTTCTCCAATTGACAACATTCCTGAGTAAAAAAATGCAAGTTATTTCCACAACATTAGTAACTGAGGAAGTCAAAATGTTGGAGAAGCAGAGGAAATCAAAATGCTCGAGAAATATACAAAAATAAATGTTCATACCTCACTTGCAACAAAAGAGGCATATTTCTTATTTGCAATTTCTTCACAATAAATTGCTGCAACCATAACTTAAAAGAGAGTTGACCATATAATGGTTAATAAAATAAATATGCATGTGAGTAAATGCAGCAGCATTGTAGCATGTAAACCAAAAGAATATGTTTTCAATAACAATACCAAAAGAATATGTTTTCAATAACAATCTCAAATATATATATAATATATATATATATATATATATATATATATATATATATATATATATATATATATATATATATATATATATATATATATATATATATATATATATATATATATATATATATATATATATATATATATATATATTATATATATATATATATATATATATATATATATATATATATATATATTATTTTATAAGTTATACATGCATATTAAGTTGCAATGAACATTAACATTAACAAAGATGCATACACCCAAAAATCCTATTAATGAGTCAGTCAATACAATTAACAAATAAACCAAAATAAATTTGGTGTACATTTCATACATGTTCCCTAAATTGCCCTTCCTTTTCTTCATAGCTAGAAAGTGCAACAACTTCAACCTAGTCATTTATTTCCAAGAAAAGATTTAATATAAACTAAAACTAACAATGAAGTTCTGTTACACACAAGAAACATCTATAGAATTAGAAATGTGAAAGAAAAAATGGCATTTACGATGAAAAATTTGCTTAGTGGAGTTTTTATGTGGGTATGTGGGTTAGGAACAGTGTCCCATATCTGCAGAGTACAGAAATAAATCAAGAAAGATCAGCAAAATTATATAACAATTTAAAAAAAATATAATATAATGGCACCACCTTGACAAGCATTGCACAAAGGGAAAACTAGTAGCGGAAAGAAAGAATCAACTCCAGAAAATCAAAACAAGAAATACATGCTGCTAAACATACTTCAAATATTTTTAAATTAGCTGGTACATAAGATGTCTCAATGAATGAGAGAGGGGAAGCTCACATGTTTATTAACTATGTATTTGAGAAAACAAGAGCAATAGGATCAAAACGTTAATGCCAAAGCATTAATAGAGCATAAAGAAAATATGGTTACAAAATAAAGATAGAAAACTAGAAATAAATTTTCAAAATTTATATATTTCATAGCAGATATAAGTTTGGGTCCCCTAAATGTCAAAATTTTAACCACACACTCTATACAATTGGAGAACTTCATTCAATTATTGTACATTACTAAATAAATAAAGATGAATCCCTTTATGAGCTCGAGACTAATGAGATAAGTGACTAATTGGATTATGTGTGTTACCAGCAAAACAGATTCAATATAGTTTACTGACTTACTTTATCAAAACTTAAAAACCTTGATGTTCCTTTAAACGCATAAGCTAAGACGCACACAACATAAATCTATCATAAAAATCGAGCATGAATACCACTAGAAGATAAAAACCAGACAATCCAATATGACAAGTTAAAACTACTAAACACCCGGTTAATGTTACAAGCTCATTGATCAACAAAATTTCTCGGAGAAAAAGATCAACTCATTACTAGAAATCTCTTTAATAAGCTCTTTACCACCAATTAGAACAACTCATACAGCTTTTGTTTGATTTTCCTTTCCGCCCTTCTGCAAAACAGTGACACTGAGAACCTGGAAGATATGGATAGTTAGAGTAGAATCCTACCTTTATATCAATGACTTAACATTCATAAGTTACCTCAGAAGTACCATATATTTGGAACTACTATTAACAAATCATTTAAAGTTCACATTCCACACCCACTTAAATATTCCATAATATTCTTGTTACTGTTTTAAATTGTTTTAACATAACTGGTAGACATTGTTTCAAACTATACCAGACCATCAATCAAAACAAAATTGAACCATAACAAACAAAATAGGCATGGATGGGAAAATCTCAACAACAAAATTAAAACCACATAAATGTCAACTAGACACAAATTCGTTCATATAATCACACACAAAAAACAAAATCCACAAACAAGAACGAAAAAACAAAAAGTAATTAAACAAAATTGAATAAATTAATTAGTTAAATAGTTTCGCATAAAAACGAGAGTACCTCAATTCAAAAAATAAGCATGTTTCAAAATAACCATAGTCCCCCACACATAATATATTGAAATATCTAATCAACTTCATCTTTAAAAATCATAAAACTAAGACAATAACAATTGAAAACCTAAGATACGGATGAAAACAACTTTAATATTTTGAGGGATACAACAATACAAGTAAAACCCTAAGATTTATGAACTGGTATAAACATTTGCAAAGAAATTGAAATTGAAAGGAAAAGTATTAAAGTGTGACATCCTTGATTAAAACTTTTATACCACAACCACAGAAATTGACCTTCCATGGCCCATACACAAGTTAATACAACCAAAACAAAAATTTAGGATTGGGATGGAGGAGAGAATCAAATTAATTACTATGTATACAAGGGAAGGCACGATTGTTCACGAATCGTTAAACTTCGGGAATACCACAACCAACCGTAATAAACACCACAATAGATGGAGGAATGGGTTTTTCCTACAGGAGAAGGAATGTTGTTGAGGATAATAATTTGATGCAATTAGAAGGATTCTTTAACTGAATTTTTTAGATTCAGTGAGAAGATTAAGGGTTGGATGATCGAAGGATTTTTTTAGAGGAAGGATTTTTTTAGAGGAGTTTTTGTGATAATAAGAAGAAGATAGATTTGACTATTTGAGCGAGTGAGGAAAATGGTGTATTATAAAAAATTTCACAAAAGAAATTCACGCTAATATACAAGTAATTGGTTTTAGGCACAAAAGATTGCGACACTTGTTTAAAATGGTCGTATACTTTATTGTAAAAATCAAATTGCGACGGTGGAGTCTAAACAGCCGCAATCTAAGTTTCGCAAAATGACTATTTTCTTGTGATCACCACTCCAGTAGATAACCCCAAGTCTCCGAAATCCAATCCAGGTACCCGTTGAACTTCCACAGCCTTTAATCTGTCTTCCAGCTGTTTGTACCGGTCTTCAGCAGGAGGGTACTGGTCGTCGTTGAAGTCTGTTTCAGTATCAGAGCCCACAGGAGTAGTGACCTCCCTCTCATGGTGACTACCTTCTGTCACAGATGGAGGAGTCCTTTCAGCTTCAACAACCAGAGTGTTCCCGAGTCTGCGCCCAGTGTTAAATAGCACAGTCCTCCTCTTCTTCTTAGTCTTCTTCAACAGCATGGTCTTTAACTCTTGTTGACCCTGAGACAAGCCCTTGATCAGCTCCTGAAATTGGGCGTTTTGCGCCTGAAACTGGGCGTTCTGCGCCTGAAGAGCCTTGATAGCCGCATCGGTTGATGATTCAGGAGGGTTCATGATACTGAAATAAACAGCGAAGAACGGTAAACAACCTGAAAAGAAGAGTATTTATGATGCACATGATGAATGATATGTGTTTGTGCAATGCATTCAAGAGTTCGAAAATTCAAATTTGTTGTAGACCAAAAGGAACACACTTTATTATTAAGAAAATCATTGTTTTAATACATCAAAGCCTCATGGGCAAAAGTACAAAAAGATCAAATCACATCCAAAATATGTTGCGCATCTTCTCTGGAGCTATGTAAGTGTTGAGACTCCTTTCCTCATGCAACAGGCGGGTGAGCTCCAAGACCTTCCTTTCACTGGCATGCAAACTAGTCTCAAGAGAATTCCGCTCTTCCTTAAGCTGGATCCAGCTCTTCTGCATCTCTTCCCAGGATGTGGGCATATCAGGGTGCTGAATAACATGAGACACCTCTCCCTCCAAGGCAGGTTCTTTGATTACTGGAAGCATGTGAGGATAAGGCATTACTAACTTCTGAGAGCGGGCTCGTACCCATTTGAGGTAAGGCTCCAAAGGGATGGAGTTCCTGTGCCCCAGTGTCTTGCTGTCTATCCTACTAGGCATCCTCCAAGCTCTGATAAATCTCTGGCGAAGTCCTTGAGTATCGTTGTCGAAGTCAAAAACTATGTCAGGAATCAACATGTCATGAGGACCATCCCTCCGAGCATAACCAAACTGTCTCCAAGCCAGGCATGGACTATAAGTAATACCCCCTCTGATTCCAAGTAAAGGAACATTAGGGTACTCCCCGCAACGATCAATGATAGTGACCTCTTCTCTGGACCTAGGGCACCAATGTATATCTGCATGTGTAAGAGTCATCAACCGTTGTGACCATCTCAAACCCCGCTCATTCTTCAGGACTGATTGTGGAAGGTGCGAAATAAACCACTTTCCCAGGAGAGGAGTGCAACACATAAGGACACCTCTTTTTCTCATGGTTCGAGTGTAACATGAGTGAAGGAGGTCCCCCAGCAACGTAGGTATAGGATTCCTGGACATAAAGATCTGGACAGCACTGATGTCAATGAGATGATCTGGGTTAGGGAACAACACCAAACCATAAACAAGGAGGGCCACAACCTCTTCAAAAGCTTGCAAGTCAAGGGAATTCCAACAATCATAGGCCTTTTCAAACAGAAACCTGGCTAAGAACCCTTTGACACCACTTCTAACTTCCCAATGTCCCTTGAGGTCAGATGACTGTAGGTGCAAGGCTTTAGCAATCTCTTCAAGCTTAGGTTCTTTTTCTGTACCGTTGAAGGGTAGCTGATCAAGAATAGGGATCTTCAGGAGTCGGGAGAACTCCTCCAATGTAGGTACCAACTGATAGTCCAAGAAGGTGAAACAGTGATGCAGAGGGTCAAAGAATTGGAACAGGACTTTTATCATATCTTCCTCAATGTTGGTGTTGACCAAGCTGATGAGGCTTCCATGCCTTTCACTGAATGAAGAGTTCTCAGGAATCCTGGATATAAGCTCCTTAAGCTGAGGAGGGATCTTTACAAGACTGATTGGAATTGTCTTTCTACGAACAGTTTCCATGTCCTACAAAACAAGAACAAAGATGAAAATTCGAACCCCTGAAATGGTTAGTTAATGCATATGATGCTGGATGATGTCATGATGCTATGATTAAACACAGGTATTTACAAAGACAAACATGTAAGGCACACAAGGCACACAAGACAGGCCCTTAAGGTTTAAGGCCAGCATGAGGTCTGGGTAATACCCTCTTGAAGTTGGTGGGTTCAACCTGTCCTAATCAAAGTAACCGGGTTCTAAGGTTCCCAATATCACGGGATTGCTTTCATTGTTCATCGTTTCGATTTAGCCACTGAACTGGCGACCGAAATATTCCAGGAAAGCAACCCTCAATTGAGTGTAGTATCGAGTATCAACCAACCTCGGACTGCACCAAAGTCAGTTATCTCACTACCCTAAAGAGGCCAAGATTGTTCAATTAAGGTTCCTAAGGTCTGTTGATGCTTCATGACACCACATGGAGGCCCCGTACTCTCCTTGACTGACTCAAGGGTTACCGGTACACACCAAAATGCCACATCAACGTAGCAGACTGTTTCAACCATGTCGGTATACCCCGCACAGTTCCCTCACAGCCTTGTTGCTACTTTCTAAGAAGGTATTCCCCAGATCCGGGTTAGGATCTATAGAACTCCCAAGCAACCCACAATTTTAAAGCACACAAGGAAAACAATTGAAAACACAGTTGTAACTAGCCCTAAGGTACACCTCACTTTAAGTAATTCCCCAGCAGAGTCGCCAGTTCTGTGATCGGTGGATCTGGAACTGACTGTTTAACGCTGGTTCGCGAAATGTCGCGGTAAGCAAGAGTCGCCACCGTCTTTTATTTTCTCCAATAGGAAAGGACAAAAGCACAGAAAAATTCCTTTAAAGAGATTGCTCTCGGTTCGGGAGGTAGGTTATAGAAAGGGAAGGTGT